ACACACACACACACACACACACACACACACACACACACAGTGCCTGGAGCTAGGTATAAATACTATACATCATATTCCCACTCCACCGGCAAGTTTCCCTTCTCATTTGACTTGAGTTAAATAGCTGAAGTGAGGTGTACATTCCCTGAGTCTCTGTGTCTCTGGTTAGCTCTGACAGTTTGTCCGGAAAGCACTCTTCAGCAGCTCATCCATTTAGCATACACTGACACGATCTGCCAGAAGTGCACTCTGAATAAGATTTATGAAAAAAATTATCTGGGCTGAAGTGAGGGGAATGTTAAATGTCATACTGAGTTTTGGGAGCGTAGAAAAATTGCAATTTAATTTCCCATTGTGAGAACTGACAGAGGTAGAAAGAAAGCAGTTCATTTTCAGCAAAGTTTTTAGATCAGATAAAGTGATGCATTCAGGATACACCTGAAAAACCTGTATATAAATAAAAGGTTCCCACAGAGTTATTTATATAGAATACTTTTCTGAGTGACATCAGGCTATTTCAAATCACCAGAAGGTACCTCTGACTTTTAAATACAATGAATTAACAGATGGGTGCTTATGGATTGGGGGAAAATGACATTAATGGAATGTGCTGCCTTCTAATCCCCTGACATGGAAGAATTTGCGACGGAGGGAATTCCTGTCATTCAGGGGGAAAACTATGAAGTCCTGCACACACACAGAGCTGCTGTACAGGCAACACAGTTTCACTGCAGAAACAGCACCTCCACAAATCCCTACTTAAAGACTCCAACCCCTGACTGTAAGCTGCATTAGAAATGTATTGCTAACTTAATAGACTGACAATGGAAAAGCAGAAGACAGACAAAATAAAAAAACAGAGAGAAAGTTGTGAAGTACCTGTGAGGCAGGAGAGCAGAGTGCTGTCTGAGTGAGAGGCAAGGCGAGGATTCCTCTCTGAGTTTTCTCCTCGCAGTTCTTCACCGGGTCTCCCTCTGCTCATAGAGGGGTTTGTGTCTTCGTGCTGGGATTTTCGGGGTTGAAGAGTAGGGGGGACCACACAGCTCCTGGAAGACAACCTCTCTCTTCTAATCCTCTCTCCAATGTGATGACACTCTCTAACCTCGACCATCTGTTGAAACACGTCCCAGAGCAGTCAGCACTGCACTGTGTCAAGAACCCCACTCCCCTGCCCAATCACAGACCGGCTGCTGGGTGGCTCCTTGCTGCCAGGAGGCAGGGACAAGGACACAGCTCAGCGCAGAGGGAGACACACACACACAGTCACACACACACACACACACACACACACATTCACTCTACGAGATGGAAGCAAGAAAACCCCCGGTCATCGTAACCTGAGAGGCAAAGGAGGAGGAAGGGACAGGGAGAGAGAGAGGAGTGGAAAGAAGAGGAATGGGAGGGGAGACAGGGAGAGAGAGCAGGAGTGGAGAGAGACGGAGAGAGAGAGCGCTTGTTGAATAAGTGGGAAACACTGAGACAGAAAAGAAAAAAGATGGAGATGAACCTTTCTCAGGCTAAATGTTACTTTCCTGGTAATGTTACTGGACAACTCTCACAAAAAATAACATGCACCCTCAATCTACTTTACCCCCTGTCCCTGACCCCTTTCCCTCCTCTACCGCTACCTCTAGCCACAGAGTATGTGGTCTAAAGAATAAAACTTAAAAAGCAATAAAATTCTGTATTGGCTCCATGGTGGGAATGCTGTTGGCACTAAACTGTTACATCTGCAGGCACAGAAGCACAGGCAGCAGCCCTCACACCTTAGTGTGATAAATCCTTACAGTCCCAGGGCTGCATTCCTGCCCTTCACCACCTATTGCCTTAAGTTAAAAGAGAGGGCAGAGGGGAACACACTAAAATTACAAAGCTAAGGAAAGAGCAAGCTATAGGGAGTAAGGAAAAAGAAGTAAAGATAAGAGGGGTTATGAGTTTACGGCTAGATGGCAGCAGATTGATAAAGCAAACATCTACTGGTTACTATCAGCCTCTGAGCAATAACATCATTACTGCCGCATTTCCTAAAAGAATCAACCAGTTCTTAACCCATTCATGCAAAACACAAGGGACATTAGGTGAGAAAGGCTGTCACATTAATCATTTTGTTGAGGCACTCTCTGACTCGCTGATCCATTAAAAAAGGATTACAAGACCCTGATGATATTCAGAAGCAACTTCAAAAGGAAAAACCTAATGAGTTAATACCCGTTTGATATCCGACAGCATCACAATGATGTAATCAGAGGTGTGAAAAAGCAAAGAAAGACTTTTAAGTGGTGCATTTACATTCTATAAGCAGCATCAACACACTGGCCTCTGTTTAAGTTGTCCTTTGATGAAATCCATTACGTTCAAACAAGGCAGCTAACATTGAGGACTTCACCCTTAATCAGTAGTTCTTTTTGTCCATACAAACTTATTTATGTTCTCTTGCGACCTTTTTAAATCACAAAATCTTTAACACAATGTGGTGTATCCTGAAATTAGCATGACCTGAGAATACAATCAGAAATACATGGTATGATGTAATATTGTCCATGTTAAGCCGAGTGGATGCTCCCAGTTACATTTCCCTCAGGTTTAGATATCAGGATATTGGATTAAACTAAACAAAGCCTATTTTCACCACAGACACGTGAAACTTTCCCCTGCTTGGACTGATGTTTGAAACAGGGGCAGTGGTGAGGGAAAGAAAGGGCCTTCAGGGGAAAGAGCTCAAATTAGATTAACTAAATTCACAAAGACTGTCCCCAGCCCCTCCTGCATGGCTACACAAACCCCAACCCACACCTCCAAACCCAGTCCCCATTCTCACGGCCGAGAGGTTTCCAAAGGACCTTCAGGCAGGCCAGGGGCGACCAAATCCCTGTGCTCTTTACTGGATTAAAGATGGCTGCCTCACTGGAGCAGAGGGCCTGTCTTTTTCAGGAGATGAGCACATCTGTAAACATCATAAATCCGTGCAGACGGCAAAGGTTATCAGTGTGAGTTTCTGTGTGGAAACCAGCTAGTAGGATCCACATCGAAACCAAACTTTTAAGAGGGACAAACCGCTCATCTACCTTATGCCAACAGACTGATTTTCCATGACCACCCTTAATCTCCATTTTCACTTCCGTTGACGGACACAACAGCAACAAAAGCAAGGGTAGAGGGAGGTCTATAAAATGGCCTCATCTTATGAATGACTGAATGACCTGCGGGGGGCTGTGGTGCTCTGCTAACCCCAAATCACCCTCCTTCTCCCAATCCTCATTTCCAAAGTTTTCACTCAGTTTATCTGGGTGGATATCGAACACAAAAATGAGCTTAAAGATGGCCAGTTGTCTTTTGTTTTAAAGCTCTCTTATTAGGTACCGTGCATAATTTCAAACTCTTATCTCTTATCCAAGTTATATTCTGAAACCGAATCCAACCCACCTCTCACATTAACTTCCCCCCTTTTCCTTCTAGCTCTCCAGCCATCAGCTGGGCCTGCAGGTGCAAGCAGAGGCCAGTGTTGGGGGGCTACTCGGTTCACTAGCCCCATTCTCTACAGCTGAATGAGATACACAGGGGTGTCATAGCTGTGATCCTGCCTCTGTGCTAGTTAAGAGCGCTAGAGCTGAAGCTGGGGGATATCTCGGTGATGTGGAGGAAGGCAACCTGGGGGGGGTAAAGGGCATTGTCTTTTGCTACACACCATTTTTCAAAACATGCACATGGCTACTACCAGGCCAACTCTGGGTGCAGAACAATAGATACATTTATTATGACCAAAGCAAGGTACTTCCTTTACTTTGCAGGACCAAACTACATTTGCCTGGTTCTGCTGCTTCCCAGGTTCCTCTATACTTCAGTGAGTTGAATCAGTGTCATCTCAAGTTCATGCCAGAAAGGCACAGCTGATGACTAGAATTCCACAAGAAAGCGAAACACTAGGCGCAGTTGGTCATGAATGTACAGGGCCTGGATGAGAAACGCAAGGCAGCAGTAGGAGGGACCAAGAGGACACAGAAGTACAGTAGCGACAGAGGGGTGGCAATGGTAAAAGAAAAATACAAGCAGAAAGTGGGGAAGAGAGGAAGACAGGCCTTTGTAGTTCAGTGACAGCTGAACATGCACGTGAAGGGAGCTCTCCTCACGCCACCCTCCTGCTGTGACATGCATGTGCCCTTGTTCCAAGTGACTTGACACGCATGAAAACCACACATGCATGCCGACATGCCTGACAGCATCTGTGACAATATCCTGAATGGAGCCAACTGTCAGATCCCAACAGAATAAAATCAAAATTTTATTTTAGCCAGGTTTACAGAAATGTCACGTTTTTGTGAGTCTGCATTTAAGTGCTATGTTATGTACTTGGATTAAGCATAAATCAGTTACGAGAGAGCAACTTGATGACCTCGTAGAGAAAGTATGGCAGAAACATAGCAATTGCAGCTACTGTGGAAGTCACTAGTTTGTTAGCAGCTATTAACCTTATATTCGTGGTCACAATGAGAGTAATTTATGTGGATGTAAGTGTGGTTTGTACATTTGCAGTATTCAATATACAGGTAATAAACCACACATTTGAAAAAAACACTATACCACTAGGGTTTTTTTTACCTAAAAGGTAGCTTATTGCTACAATAAGCATCAAGACTGACACCTATTCTTCAAAACCCAAGCAGTTAACAAGTAGTGCTGCAGACAAAGGAGGTACACAGACACATAATGAAGTCATTAGGAGTAACCTGAGATCAAATGTTAGGTAATGATAATAGGATTTAGAGGCCTGTTCATAATGACATCAGCTAACAGACTTCAGTCAGATGCCAGATGCAGTTTGACCTCTGTGGCAGATATTTACAGTGACGGTGAACTGTGGTGACCAACCATCAGAGTAAAGAATGTGAAAGCCAGAGTTGGGAGAAGTTGAAGATGTTATTGTGTTTTAATAACTTAATCTAATCCTGGTGCCTTTAACCAACCAAATGTCATATGTTCAGCAGTTAACACATTTATTATTTCCTCTTAACTAAAAGCAGTAGTGACTGTCCTTCGTTGAAAACAATTGTTTCCATAAGCCACACTGCTTTTATGTCGAAATCACGCATTTTCAACCAGCTTCCCCAAACGACAGTTGACTCAATCCTTCTGCTGATCACTTTTGATCTGACATAAATTATAAATCTGATTTCAAAACAAAACATCAAAAGACAGGTTGTACCGCTTCCACATACACGTACAGTATGTAATTCAGAAGGAATGTAGCCTTCATTGGATAATTCTTGGCATGAATAAAGGTAAGTGCCTCCAGATTTCCAAATAACAAGTGTCAGCACAGACTACGATTCCTTGGCTCCAACGGGCTGCAGACACCCTAACAAATACACAGGCACCTTTACTGATCAGGCCTTTACACAGTGTGTGGCAAATGGGGGCCCCATACCTTTTGAATCTATGGATCTCAAAATCCACCTTTCAATTATTTAAAATGCCTTGAATAGAATGATAAGACTTTTTATTAATTTGCTTTTCCAAACTTAAATATGTTTTATGAACAAATCAATGATAGTGAACAGAATAAATCTGATAGACCACCCAGGGAGCCATCTTAAAGAAGGATTAAGACCCTCAGAGAACTTCTTGGGAACAGATAGTGAGAGAGAAACCAATCCTATCATTCCACTGATCTGTTGAATCACAGGATGACTGAAATGATTTTGGAAAGCCCTAAGGTTCAATGGGTAGATGGCCGGGAACTAGTGCTGTAAGCCATGAAGATATGAGATAGATAGAGCGAGGAGATACTGATCGCTTTCCCTGGGTCTCAGTAAGAAGATGAAAGACATTCTGACGGCCAAGACAATGGTAGTCGTGTAGTGACCAAGTTCCACAGGCAAAGCCCCAGGGACCTTTAAAATTGCAATACAACTGAATTCCACTTATAGTTTTTTGGTTTGAATTTACAAAACATGTTGTGTTGTCCGAGTAGTACAAATGAAAGCAACATTGCAAAGGGTGTTAGAAAGATAAGAAAGAATGGTTGCAAGAATCTGGTTATAAGATCAATTTTTGCCGCTCCTGTGAGGAGTACAGGTACATGTTTTTCATACTGAGGCGGCAGGGGTGGCACAA